AAACTCTCTTAATTTAGCGACATGCGGGAGCTTATTTAACGTCAGACCATGAGCGTAAAGAATTCGAGGCGATCGTAAGTGAGGCAACTACATTATAATTATCTATGCCCGTTCTGAACAATGCTGTAAATACCGTGAATAGTTCTCACTAGCACTTATTTCGTGTTAACAAGTCTTATGCCAACCAGTAGCTCCTGCTGTTGACGCATCTAATATTCATTTTAACTGTCTGCAATTGAGGAATCATGCTGTACTACCTATCAGCGTTCACAAACATTTCCGTAGATACCCTTTCAGTTTAGCATTCGTTCAATTCTACTAACTACACATCTCCGATCTAATCAGTGTTTGGAATTTTTTACTGGGAGTGCAGCTGACAACCATAATAACCTGTTCAGTGTTAACTTTCACGTTGCACTCTGATATGATTTAAATTTCCTATGTTGCCGCCTCTTTTTATTGGAAATGTTTGGTGAATCGAAAGTTTGTGAACCCAAGTACCACTATTGTACCGAAATAGGCTGAAAAATACAACTTTGAAAAGTATAATAAACAAGATATTGTTAATCCAGTCAACCTTACAGTACCTAAACCGTTAAAGATTGAGATTGCAGTAACCAATCTCATGAAATTATAGGGTGTGCGCGTAAAGATTGACAAACACTAATCATTAGAAACAGAGATCTCAAAAAGCAATCTTTTTGATGTTGTCCGTCTTCTTACCACTCTGAGCTGTTGACCGGAAGGCATGTTCAATGAGCACATTTGCACTAAACTGTTAATGTCGTGCTGAAGATCAAACGTTCCACCACATTCGAACACGCGGTTTCCATATGTCGAGTATGGGACAATATAAAACAGGAATACTGGCTGAGAAATTATTAATACTGGCGGGTAGAACTCTTTCTAACCTGCATGATAAACCGTTTTTCTTACCTGCGTGGACCAGGTCTTTCTTTTAATCGGTGTTATTATATGGCCACATCTAATATCCCTCCTCCAACAAATACTAAGTGTGAAGTAAACAGAATCCCGTGCCCGACAGGTAAGAAAATCAATTAAATAATACTATTTTTCCTTAGAAACTTGGAATTTTCGAAGTCTGTAATGGGCATTTGAAATGAATGCGCTAAGCATGCTTTGACCATAACGAGATGCAATCACATATCCTTGAGTTGTTCTTATTGCAGGTTGAATGCGGACAGACTTTGGTAAAATTTTCATTCTTCGGCATTGGTGTAGAAAGGCTAATTGTTCCCGCGTAAGACTTTCGCGTATTGTACACTTTTCCCATCGTCTAACTTGCAGCAAAACTTCGCGAGCGTAATTCATACGTATGAATTGGAAAATCGGCATCCCAAGAAGTATAATTATGTAGAGAAAGCACTTTGGGAAAGATTGTTTATTCGGTGAATTTTCAAATGCATTCAAATGCTCATTACAGACTTCAAAAATTCCAAGTTTCTAAGGAAAAATACATGGATTTCTGCCAAATAATACTATCTTCAGGCGGTGCTAGCCACTAACTTGACAACCTAAAAAAAGCCATAAGCCATGTCACATAGTGTAGAGTGGATAAGCTATCTCATGAAATGTTAACCGACGTCGAGGAGATGGGGCTGATTCGGGAGTAAGGATGTGGTAGCTGACAAAGTGGGATAAGTAGCAGTTCAAAGCAATATGCTTGGATCCAGGCTTTGCAGTTGCAACGCCGAAACCTGGGGCAACAAATACCAGTTGGTTTACCGGTGTGAGCTCCTCGTTTGGCTGTCGACGTCTATGGACTAGGTCACGTAGGTTCTTGGGTTAGAGTGTTGTGAACGATATTCCTCGACGTATTGCCCACGCTGTTGATGAAGATGTTACGAAAGATAAGCGTCGCCAGTGAGGACAGGTAGAAGGAGCTGTCTGGTTTGGGTTGTGCTAGGCGCGAAATCTCGATTGTTTCGACTAAATAAGGGATAGGATGGGGACTGTTATAATAGTGTTAATAGTCAGGCAGAGGCGAAAGAGACATATTGATTAAATGGAAGTTTATTCTCAGGGGAAATGAACTAATTTGGCTGTTAGTTGGACTCATAAGTCTGTTCTTTGATAAAGAATAAAAGTTGACGATCTTGGCTGTTAGAGGAGAAAATGAAACGTTCTAATACGGTGCTCATTCTTCTCTTCTCTTGTGTTTTCAAAGTTGGACACTTAATACTAAACGGGCATTTGTTATCACGTCACAACGTTCGTGATTAGATGGGTCACTGGTAAGTCCTGGGTGAGGACACCTTTCTAAATATTGCTAAACCTGCAGACGATGATGAATTATGCAAACGTTGGGGTGCATATACAAACCGAAACTGTAGGTAGTACATGATTGTTTCATGGAATCGAATTAATTGAACCTTACCCTAAAAGCTTAAAATTGAACGCGGAAGAAATTGATGGCCTTATGCGATCGATTCCGTAGTTTCCTCTCTGAGCGGTTGCATACAACGCTTGGACCGGATTGGCTGGGCGACATCCCTTCCTTGAAATGCACTTACTATCTAACCAGTGTATGTTTTGCGCCCGAGTGACGTCTTTTGATTGGGTTTGTGCGTGAGCTCTCTTATCCCCAATTATACTTTTATGTCTCCGCCCAGTACGCCCGTGTACACTTCCTAGTCCGTCTTCTGGCATCCTAATTGCTATTAGAGACCTTCTAGGTAGGCCTGAATATGTGATTTGCGAAGAAGAGTTACTATTTTTCAGAAATAATGAATTAACTGCTAGCCCCAAGAGTAATACCTTCGAAATCTCTTGTATACCCCCTCTCTCCGGGAGAACAGAGGAATAAGAACACCCTAGTGATATAGGTGACCCATGTCCTAACACTGACCCTAACCCTGCTGCCCCTGAAATTTTACGGCTCTGGTTTTCGTGTCCTATCGGGGGTAGAGGGGGCATATAAGCGATCACAATCCACACCGCTCATTGGACACGCTAGCAGCTAGAACTTCGGCCCCTATGTCTACCGTTTTACTGTTATAAAAAGAAACGATTCACTCGTCAGTCCGTGCGCTTACGCAATCAGAATAATGTCCACCTTGACCACCTTCCCTTTTCTTCCTAGACGAGTCCAGCTGATGGCAAGGTCATGTCCTGTGGCAGAGTGGAGGAGGGACATCTGGAACAGGTCAAGGGTTTAGCGTATACACTTCGCGCCCTCCTGGGTCCCAATACCTGGTCTTCTTCCTCCTCCACTGCCTCCTCTGGGGCCTCCTTTTTCTCCCGTCCCAACACCGTGCACGGAAGCCCACCGCAACCACAGGTTCTCCAGTCCGAGTCCCGTACCTTTACGGTACCGTGCAATCTCGACCAGCTGGGTTTTGAACGGAGCCTGCACTGTCAACTGACATCTCTCGGTCAGTTGCCGGCATCC